TGTGCATCATTCACTAATAAAACCTCTAGGCATATGTGTGTATGTGTACAGTACATAGCAGTGTGAGTTAGGTAGTGCATTACCTTGCACAGTGGCAGGATTATAGGACAAATACTGACCTTTACATGCTCTTGCAAGGGCTTTCCAAGGGCTGACAGAAAAGATTTATGCCAGTTTTATGTGGGAGGACTCTATACTTATCTGTCTGATAAGCCAAAACACCCTGCCACCTACCAAATATATTTGCTTCCAGATTTCCTCTTTTATGTTTGGGGCCATCCCTAGGCAAATCCTCTTTCTCATCAAGGTGTCAGGAAGAAACTCTCAAGGATCTAGGACCCAGCAGTCTTGTTTTCCACTGTCTCATGCTCAACCTCTTCTATATTTTTATAGATTAAAATTAAACATGTCCATAGCAGTGTCCAAAATGTTCCTAATCCTGCAAGGGGGCCTGGCACATAAGGCTAATGGGGCTTAGGCTACCTGAATAAACTTGTGCTTCCAAAAGCTGGGCTAGTGTAACCAGAGCCAGAAAAGTGACAGGCAGATCTTTAGAAGCCTCATTCCTGTTGTTCTGCCTTCCCTGCTGTCCACAGCCTCACACCCTAGCGTAGTGGTGACAGCAGACAGTTCAAGCAGCCGACCATTCACCACGACTCCTCTGATCTATTACCACAAGCTGCAAAGCACACGGTGACAGTGGCAATCTCTGACATGAAGGGTTCTCGGAGGCAGAGCCAAACAGAGCCAGCATTTAGTAAATAAATGAGAAGTCAGTGCGGAGACTCAAATGCATTACGTTCTGTTCGAGTCAAGTTGAAAGTGGGTTGACGGCAACAGAGACTGAACTGTTTCTCCTCAGAAGTAGTAAAGCATGGGTGTAAGCAGTGGAAGATCCCCCCTAAAACTGTCTTACTTGTGTGCCTCAATGCCTATTTGGAGAGACCATCTCCAGGAGGGGGTTCTGCAACCATTTCGTCCTTGGCCTCTCTGTCGAGATTGACAAATCTGCCAAATGTGACAGTAGTTTTTCTGATGTGTCCACTAGAAATCAGACTGAAACAGCAATCATATCACATAGGCCATTGAACAGCCATTGGATAGCAGTGACGTGGAATCACTACTGACCTATGCAGGACTTGCAAAAATAAGATTAAAAGCTTTACATCTGGATTCCATTGCCAATCCTCCTAAACCTCCTAGTCCTTCTGATTTAGTGTGACTCAATGCCCTATATGCTGTGGATCTCTTTGGGCTCTCTGGTTTTTCTTGAGCTGACAGATGCCCACAAATATGTAGCTATTGCTCAGAAGTGCCCTGAAAAGCATATCCCCAAGCCTACAATTTTAAAATAAACCATTCAGTTAAATCAGCACCGAATGAATTCCTGTCCTCTTAACGAACAAGAAAAAAATGTACCAAGCAAGGAATTGAAGAATCCACAGGCATTTACTTATCTGCAAAGATTCCTCCTCCATACTGCACAACCAATACATTGACCTTAGCCTTATCAGGATAGACTTGAAGCCAAGCCTTCATGCCATTTATCCTTACTGGAGTAGCAATATTGAACCTGATCCAACCTGTGTTTGCTGAGTCTCTTTACCCACTTGACCCACCTTATAGCAAGTTTCATACCTTCAATTTGTTTGAAATTACAACTCCTATGTCACTTGCACTTATCAATGTTAAGTTGCCAATGTGTCTTCCAGATAACTTGGCCCAGAGATGCCCAATTATGGAAGGTAGTGCACGTATCTGAGGTATTTCATCAGCTCTGGCCATATAACTATTGTAACCGGCCCCACTGCAGGGAGTCGCTCTGGGTATGTCTACACATCAAAGAAAAACCTGCAGCTGGCCCATGCCAACTGACTTGGGTTCGCCGTGGGTTTTTCTTTGCTGTGTACCCTCTGAGTGCTGTGGAACACCAGTCCCCTAGATGGCTGGTAGCGTGCTGGGCGTACCACAGGCTTAGTGGCAAGTGCTAGAGGTGCTCCAAGCACTAGGTCCTTCAGTCTCTAGCCCTTGGTGTGTTTCCACAAGCACAGCATCTGAGGAATAGCGAAGGATGCCAGCAATAAATGGTGCAATTAATGATTGCTTTAAGTTACATTAAGTTAAGTTCCTAACACAGCCCCTGAGGACCGTCCAGTCCAGGGGTAAGGAGGTGGGGTCCCTATGGCCTGGTGCCAAAGGTACTCACTCCAGACCACTGCTCTCCTGCAGGCAGTCACACACTGGACTGCAGATCCCCCAGCCAGAGCCCAGTCCTCTTGTCCAGCACCTATACTCTTAGTCAGGCCTGTCCATATGCTCACTTTCCCTGCCCACCCTGCAGGATACTTCTGGGTTTCTATCTGGTACAACTGCCACTGGACGCTTTGCCAGCAAGAGGCTGCTTTCCAAACTGGCTCCCAGATCCCAACCTGTCTGGCCTTCTCCTTGCCATCAGCTCCCAGCCTGCTGCCTCCAGCTGGTTGCTCTTTATCTAACACAACCTCCGGGTCCCCTCTGGCCTTTAGCAATACTTCCCTTTCTTGTGCTGGAGGGGTTATGGATCCCTCTATTGGCTGGATGTTGCATTTTAATATAGTCAAATGCAAGGTCATACCTCTAGGATCAATGAATGCAACCCATACTTCCTAAATGGGCGACTGTATTCTGAAAGCAGAGACTCTGAAAAGGATTTAGGAGTTATAGTGGACAAGCAACTCAAGGTGATTGGCCAGTGCAGTGGTGTGGCAAAGAAGGCTAATGGGATCTATGGATGTATAAATGGGAGCACTGATTGGGAGTAGGGTGCTGATTTTACCTCCGTACACAGTATTAGTGAGGCAGATACTGGAATACTGTGTACAGTTCTGGTGTCCACATTTTACAATGGGTGTTGAAAAATTAGAGAGGGTGCAGAAAAGAGTCACAAAAATTATTGCGGACTGGAAAAAATGCCTCACAGAGAGAGATTAAAGAGCTTGAGAGGTGACTTGATTATGGTGTATAAGGTACCTTCATGGGAATAAAGTACTGGGTTATAAAGGGCTCTTTAACATAGTGGAGAAAGCTAGAACAAGAACCAATGGCTGGAAGTTAAACCCAGACAATTTAAAAATAGAAATAAGGCACAACCATAACAACAGTAAGGGTGATTCACCATTGGAGCAAACTACTAAGGATACGCCATCTCTGATGTCTTCAAATCAAGACTGGATGCCTTTCTAGAAGAAGTGTTTCAGTTAAACATAAGTTATTGGGCTCAGTACAGAAGTAACTGGATGAAATTCTGTGGTCTATACAGGACGTCGGACTAGATGATCTAATGATCCCTTCTGGCCTTAGAACCTAAGAATATATGAAGATATTTGAGCCTCAATTGCATCCCAACTGAAAATGTAGAAGGGCTGATCTCAGCCCTAAGGGAATCTTCTGGGAAAGATGAACCAATTCTAAATAATAGTTTTTCCTGTTACTGAGAAGTTAGAACAAATAAAACAATAACCGCTTACAAGGCTCGGTTTAATATTCTAAGCCTGCCACTGCAGAAGCAGCTGCCAGCACCTTCTACAGAGAGGATGCTGCAGTAAGAGAAACCACCGTTGTAGAAAAGAGGCTGTCAAATACTGAGGACCAGGACTATACTGCAAATTTTTGCTGGCTGGTTATGTTAGTAGGGGGTGTGAAGAGGTGTGACCTGTGCCCAACACAGCTGTGCCAGCAAAAGCCCACTGTAGATATGGTTAAACTGGCAAAGGTGCATTTTTACTAATGGAGTTTGTTTCTCCAGAACAGGGATGGGTGGGTTGCAGTTGGCACCAGCAAAGTCTTCCTAGTGTAGAACTGGCCTCATGAGGGCTGAGCACTTTCAGGTCTCTTCAACTCTCTTCAGAGCCTGAGGGCTTCTCTATATGGCAAGTTAGTGTGGAGCAAGATTCTGTAGCGCACTGGTTGACCATACACTAACTCATCCTGTAGATCCTGCTACTAGGCACTAAAAGTTTTGTAGTGCATTTTGACATAGTGCATTTGAAATAGGAGTATGTCAAAGTGCACTAGGGAACGTTTAGTGCCTGGTAGTAGGGTCCACACAGAGAGTAAGTGCATGGCAAGCTGGTGTGCTGTATAGAGTCACACCCTGGCTTGCTGAGCATTAACTCACTATATAGATATGCCCTTAGTTCTATAAATTTTCACTAAGACTTAGGGGTAAAATTTTGAAAAGCACATAAGTAACTTAGGGCACATCTACACTTAAAATGCTCCATCGGTGTGGCTGTGGCACTGTAGTGCTTTAATGAAGACGCTCTAAGTTTATGGAAGAGAGCTCTCCCATCAGCTTAGTTAATCCACCTATCCAAGAGGTGGTAGCTATTGTGATAGGAGATATGGTGCTGTCTCCGGGGGTTTGGGGGGGGGGGTAGGGTCATGTGTATTTTTCACACCCTTGAACGATGTTGTTATACTGATAAAGGTCTGTAGTGTAAACCACATCTTAGGAACCTAAGTCCTAGTTTCAAAAAACGACATAGGCATTTAAGAATCTAAATCTCATTGACTTTCAGTGAGACCTTAGCACCAAAGTCATTTTTGAAAATGGGACTTAGGCTCCTCAGTCACTTAAGCACTTTTGAAAATTCTACTCCACATCTTCTTCTCTGTCTCGTTTTTGTGCATTACCCACTTGAATCATGTCTCCTTTCCTAGCAAGCATTGGCTGGTACAAGGAAGGAAAACTAGGAATGAGCCCAAATTAAAACACTGGATCTGGACATTCCCAAATTTTTCAGACGAAGCAAAAATACCAGTGTTTGCTAACTGGAAAAGGAGCTAGCACAGAAGCAAGAAATACTATTTTCAAGCTTCCAAAATAACAGAGAGTTAAAAATTATTAAAACCTACATGAGACAGAACTAGACAGTGTCTCATTAATTAAGTAGTAAGAGTACCTTAGCCTGCTGACAAAAATATGTAGGAAAGTCAAAAGACATTTTGCTGTTTTCCAGGGCAGTGGATTGTGCCTTGCCTCAGCTGTGCTGACAACAGAACCTGTGACTGGCGAGAAATAACATGGCAGCCACACAACTGTCAGTATTCTGTCCTGACTAAGCCAGAGCTCCAGCAATGTGTGGAAGGCAGAAAGGTATGCAACCAATTTATCTTTTTTGCCTGCTGTGTCTGTAACAGAAGATAAATCATCCACGTCTATTCACACTGAACTTTATTGTCCTGAAGTTCTTTACAAATGTGAAGAAATATGCATTGTGATTAGTGTATAAGAAAAATCACTTTTTATAACATTGCTAGAGGAATGTTAGAAGGGATTCAGATCACGACAAGCAATGATTATGTAGAATTGAACCCCTTATAATGTATTTTTTACACTGCCATTTGACATAGACCTTCAGTTGATATTAATGAAATTTCAAGACATAACAGATAGATGGCTATGAAATACCTGTAGTGCATTTGGCAGTAGTAAGCATGTAAGCCTTACAAGTGAAAAATAATTTGCATTGTTGTTCGAGACTGACACATACTTTGCATGCAAGCTTTGTTTCTTCTGCTGTATACCTAATGCATGGCATTGCTTGTGCATACTAATCTTACAAAGTCTTCTTGCACATTCTTTTCTTATAGTGAAACTTCTAAGGTGATTGCTTGGAAATACAGTGTCTTCTTAATAGGCATGGTATGACTGTATAACATTTGAGAGAGATCTCTGAGCTGAGATTCAGGTACAATTACTGGGAATACAAGTGTCCAGAAAGTAAGTAATGGTTATAAAGATTTTTGACAATATATTTCCTAGGTAAAAAAAATGTCTTTTGGATTAAACCAGAGACCATCTCTATTCAGAAAAAATAATTACTCTTTTGTATTTTTCTTCCTTCCTTTCTTCTTAACTGGCCACTTCTCAGCCAGCACAAGGTCCTTCATTGAAATCTGGCTTCTTTCTCCTTTTGTTTCTTTCCCTGAGACAGGGGCGCTTCTGGATTGTGCAAATCCAGCTGCGGGACAGATTCTGCTGTCAATTACACCCGCATAAATTGGAGTGGCTCCACTAAAGCCATTTCATTTCTGGGCCAGGTGCTAGGGAGAATACTTGACCCTAATTTACGGTGCATCTAGCTCCAAATGTCCCCTTTATTAAAAGAGAAGAGAGCCTGGGACATTGTAGACAGTTCCCAACAGAATAACAGTCTGATACTATCTTGGAGCAATCACTGCTGAATGATCTAGGACAGGCTCAGGACCCTCACAGCTAGATGGATTGTATTACAATGTCATGGTAATACAGGGACAGTTTGCAAGGGAATGGGATTTTTTTTAAGTTAAAATACATTTTTTATGCAAGCGTGAATGCACACTTTGTCACATTGTTGCTGAGTCCTTAGCCACTGGGCCCAATTCCAATCTGAGTTACACTGGTGTAAATCCAGATTAACTTCATTTCCATGGGGAAAAAAGGAATTCACTGCTTCAGGCAGTGGAGCAGTACTGAAGTAACTCCACAGAGCCTTCAAAGCTCTAGCACTCCCTTTCATAGAGGGCATGGACCAGCGACAGTGCATCAAATTCTCCAGCTCACCCCCAGTTTACTGCCTGTTGCTGCACTCGGCGCCTCCATGAAATTAGACTCCATATCAGGCTGTGGGTGTGGATGCCTTCCATGGCTTCTTCAGATCCTTCTCCCATAAAGGGTGACCAGACAGCAAATGTGAAAAATTGGGACAGGGGGTGGGAGGTAATAGGAGCCTATATAAGAAAAAGATCCAAAAATTGGGACTGTCCCTATAAAATCGGGACATCTGGTCACCCTACTCCCATATGAGTAGCAGAATTGTGCCAAAGAGTGGGAGTTGGATTTGCCCCCATGTACAACACAGTAACCTTTGGAGTGGTTAAGGTCACAAATGAAGAGTTTGATGGCCTCAGCCTAGTCCTTAAGGTATGTGGCTATTTGTTCACATCAATAACCCACCACAAGTTGGCCAGCGAATCAAAGGCTGTAGATAACAAGGGAGCAGCATATCCCAATGAAGATGCATTCCCAGAACCGAGTTGGGAAGTGTACAGAGTGCCTAGTCACCCAGTGCATGACTGACCGTACAACACTCCCTCCCTCTCACCAGCACCAAAATCAGTCCCAACATTTGTTAAAGGGTCCATTGAAATAGAAGAAGTATGCATGCCTGAAGTTCATGAGCCTGATTCTAATCTCAGCTCTGGTGGTGTAAATCCTGAGTAACTCCATTGAAGTCAGTGATTTACTCCAGTGACAGATCAGAATCAGGCCCCATGTAAACTACAGTGACTCTCTGTTAATGATAAAGACAATACAAAACAGGGGGAGTGCAACCGGGTGGCTCACCCCTTAATGGCTGGAGGTTAGCCCCTGTCCTGATTACAGAATGAACCCCTCTGAAAGGAATCAGGTGATTCCAGGAAATGGTGGCTTTCTCTGTAAAGTATGTAAAGAGAATGAAGGCTCCTGCAGGGCCCTGAGTCAGCAGGTAGGAAGGCACCAGTGGGGAGGGCCTGTAAAGAAGGACAGTCTCCAGGCAGGAGGCAGAAAGCCAGACCCTGACAGAGGACAATCTGTGCCCATCTGAAACTGGGATGAGGGCTGGGAGAGTTTGTAGGGTTGCCAACCCTCCAGGATTGTCCGGGAGTCTCCAGGAATTAAAGATTAATTTTTCATTAAAGATTATGTCAGGTGATGAAATCTCCAGGAATTCCGCCAACCAAACTTGGCAACCCTAGGAGTTTGTAGTTCTCTTTTGAAAGGCTGTGTTATTTTGTCAAGAGAGAGACACTGAACTGTGGTTGGGGCCTGGAGGGCCAATGGACCTGAGCACTGAATAAACTGGACCCCAGGGGGTGTGGAGCGAATCCTTTGGACTGTGTGGAGTTTAAATCCTGAAGAAGGAGCAAACAGAGGCAGGGCAATGCTGAAGTACCCCTGGCCCCAAGGGGTGCTCTGGAGGCAGTTGACTCTATTGTAATAAGTAATTAGAAAACTCTGTAAAGCTAAAAGATTTGTCAAATAACCTTCTATAGGGCAGAAATCTGTTGACTGGATGCTCTTGTCTCAGCACAGACATTTGTTTGAGACAGTTCTTTTAATGGGTCTGTTCTTTGTTAAAATCTAATTTCTGTGGCATTTTAGCTTTTGCTATATTTCTCCAGTACACCTTAATTTTTCTTTCCCTCTGGTATTATTTTTATTTTGACTTTGCAATGGGATTAACTCTGTGAAGCATTTTGGGATAATTTGAGCATAAGTGACTAAATCAAATAAGGGCAGATCCTGGCTCATGTGAGTAGCTGCTCTGCAGTAGGAGGGACTTGTTCCCATGTGAGTTGGCTGAGCGGGAGTGGCCCAAAAGTTGTATTACATTGGACTGTCAGGGACTGATCACATTCAGGTTCCTTTGCACCACTCTGTAAAAGAGCCTTGCTGTAAATGAGAATCAGGTCCTAAATACTGTGTTGTTAATTAGGTGTTCTTCAAAAAGGACTTTAGTAAATGTTCTGCATATTTTAATGCATTTATACTTTAGCACTTTTGTTCCTTTTGAAAGGTGGTTAAGTGGGGTGTATCAGTACTGTGCATATTTGTTGTGAATGAACATGTTTATATCACATGACATCATGATAACCATCATATAAATATTTACATCTCCCAAATCCTGGGAGATTAATTTCAAACTGTTATGTACATTAATGACTCCACAAGTGCTCAAAGCTAAATTCCACCCAGACTAATGATATGATTATTTCTATAATATAATAAGCAAAATATTTCAAAGCTGACATGTATAGGGAGATTAGAGGAAAAAGAAAGGAGCAATATACATATACTATACTATACATATAAAACGATGGGGTCTAAATTAGCTGTTACCACTCAAGAAATAGATCTTGGAGTCATTGTGGATAGTTCTCTGAAAACATCCAGTCAATGTGCAGTGGACATCAAAAAATGTGAACAGAATGTTGGGAATCATGAAGAACGGGATAGATAGAAAATATCATATTGCTTCTATATAAATTCATGGTACACCCACATTTTGAATACTGCGTGCAGATGTGGTCACCCCATCTCAAAGAAGATATATTGCAATTGGAAAAGGTTCATAAAAGGGCAACAAAAATGATTAGGGGTATGGAATGGCTTCCATATGAGGAGTGATTGGTAAGATTGGGACTTTTCAGCTTGGAAAAGGGGGGGATATAATAGAGGTTTATAAAATCATGACTGGTGTGGAGAAAGTAAATAAGGAAGTGTTATTTACTCCTTCTCATAACACAAGAACTAGGGGGTCACCAAATGAAATTAATAGGCAGCAGGTTTAAAACAAACAAAAGGAAGTATTTTTTCACACAATGCACAGTCAACCTGTGGTACTGATTGCCAGAGGATGTTGTGAAGGCCAAGAATATATCAGGGTTCGAAAAAGAACTAGATATGTTCGTGGAGGATAGGTCCATCAATGGCTATTAACCAGGATGAGCAGGGATGGTGTTCTTAGCCTCTGTTTGCCAGAATCTGGGAATGGGCGACAGGGGATGAATCACTTGATTACCTGTTCTGTTCATTCCCTCTGGGGCACCTGGCATTGGCCACTGTTGTAAAACAGGATACTGGGCTAGATGGACCTTTCTGACCCAGTATGGCCAGTCTTATGTTCTAGAAATGCCCAAATAAGTCGGGGGCTGGAAGGTGGGAGGGGTTGGTGTAGCATGCTGCGCAGTTTCTATTGCCATTTGTTGAAGATAAATGAAGACTCTGCATAACTCAGTCATGGCTCCCCCACTCAAAAGTAATATGCTCATCTGATCTATCTACCTATCTATTCTAGAATTTAGTATGAGCTCCCTCACCACAGTAAATTATAATACCAAGCTGTTCTATAGCACTTTTCATCTCTAGAGCTCAAAGTGCATTACAGCGTATCGTTATCCACATTTTACAGATGGACAAACTGAGTCACAGAGAGGAAGTGACTTGCCCAAAGTCATCCAGCAGGCCAGTGGCAGCGTCAGGAATAAATCCCTTGAGATCTAGCCCAATGTTCCACCCACCCGGTCACATTGCCACCATAGTATCTGAGCTCTGATCTCAAGTACATAAAA